CCTCACTCAATAGTTGAAAGACTAAGATGCTACAAATATGTTAGTTTAGGGACCGTATTTAACCTTTATTCCCCTTTGTCCTCTAATCTAGAACATATTGTACTTTGCACAATCTTAAAAATTTGCCTTATTTAACTATCAATATATTTATTTATTTATTTATTTATTAATAAGCATTATAAAAATTTAATACTCGTATACATTAAGACAAATCTAACAATTTCTCATATAACTATATTTATGATAAACATTAATGTCTTATTTGGTCAAAAATTGTAAACTTTGACCGTGAAAATATCACATACACTATATTATGGTATTTATGGCCTTATTATGGGGTAAAGTAGAGGTGCTCATAAATTTGGGTCGGGTCTTAACATTAAAATAGACGGGCTTTTCGGGCTTTTTCGGGCCGAGTTCGGATTTTTAACTACAGTAAAAAAGTGTTTTTTGGCTTGTCCAAACTCATCCTATTTTCGGGCTGGATTGGGCCGGACTAACGGATTGGACCATTATCGATCACTTTTAGGTAAAGCAGTGAATACGATTTTAACAGTTTTTCTTTTTCCTTTCTGATCACCTCCTCCCTTTTTTTTTTTTATTGTCGTCATTGTCATCTTGTAGCGCATATTATAACTTGAATTAAAGGGTACTAGATAAATTTCCTTTTGACCCATATACTCCCGCCCGACTAAATATCCTTTTAGCATTAATCCAACCCAACTAGCCTTTGAAAATCAATCATATGTAGTACCTAGGTTTATAGTTTTCAAAAAAAAAAAAAAAAAAAAAAAATTCCTATTTATAAGTGACTACATTTTTTTTTTCTTTCGATTTTTTTAACCAAATACCCCTGATCAGTTTTAACTTTATTTTCCATTTATCAACAAATTTTTCAAATTCACCGTATACTCATAAGTTTCACGAAAATGACCACATAGAAAATGAGAAAATAGTGAGTTTTAATAAGGGACTCAAGTTTCCATCATAGATATGTGTTGAATTGAATACCCATATTGAATACGACACATATGTATAAATACATAAACACTTTTTCGTTTTTGGATAGAACATAAACCAATTTATATAATACTCCGATCCATTTATTTTAGAATAATTGACATATAGTTTAAAATTAATATGAAATGAAACTAAAAATTTGAAATTCAGGACAAGAAAACTGAATTATTGATATGATTGAGCTAGGACTAGACTCGACCTATTTAGACTAGTTTAGGGTTCTTTTGGCATCGCTGTGGTTTTCTGTTTTCTGTTTTTTGGATTTTTATTTTTCAAAATCATATGATATATGTCATTTAATGAATGAAAAATTAGTCAAACTTATTATAATTATGACAATTTTGAAAATTGACAACAGAAAAGTGGAAACACCTTTTACTTGTTTACTTTTTTGGTTTTTTGTTTTAAGAAAATACTGAAAACTAAAGACAAAACACGATGCCAAACAGGCCTTTAATTTTTATTTATTTTTTATTTTTTTAAAATCTATGTTATTTGTTTAATGTCTGCTTGCATTGTGGAACATTTCCTACTTACGTCGATGGAATATAGTAGAGAGACAATCTAACATTTTGTTGTAGCTGTGAGGATGATTTTCATTTGATTTATTTGTTTGTATCCAAGAAATTAATAAATTTGCAATCCCGAATAGTTTTTCACCAATGAAAAAATTTCATTGAACCATCAAAGCAAAAAAGCAATCGTTAAAGTTCTTCATAGAAGAGTAGAAGTTATTATAAACCTAAAAACAAACAAAAGCAAAGGGAAAATCACACAATAAACAAACATTAGGGTTTTCACCGACTCACTAAACAGTGATGTCACTACTTCACCGCCGCACCTAAAAGATCATTAAGAGGGGTGTAACATGAGGATTTCAGGGCAATAAGGGCAAGTGATGAGCTTCGTATATGACGAATGATTTCTAAAATTTAATTTAATACTGTACATAATGTGATGACATGCATGTAGATTAAATGTGTTCGAATGGCATTTATGCCAGTGTCAAATTATTTGTGTGGGAAAAGATTTGTGTGTCCAATTACAACATTTATTATGCAGCGAACAACTCTACAAGGAACCTTAATAACCAAATTAGTTGGTAGAAAGCTCGTCATTCATGTGTTTGGGATAAGATATTCCTATTTTAATGTGCCGCATTCAATTCGACTTGCAATGTGGCGTACCTACTATTTAATTAAAGAGTAATCGTATTTATTAGTTGAAACAAATCTTTATAAAGATATATTTCGAAATACGATAGCATATAGTAAGCTAAAAATATGTGATAATTTGACTTTGAATTATGGAATAATTTATTTTTATCAATAAGTCTTATGTAAGACAGGTGTATATTAATTTTATTGTAAAACGGTCAGTTTGAGAGTAACTTTAATTATTTTTTTGGTAACTTTAACCGCTTAAAGGGTAACTTTTAATTGTCGTAGTTGGTTTTAATTTAATTTTAATGTGTAATTTCTTTAGATTCATGATTACATACTATAAAGGTTAATATGATTAATCTAATACATTATAAGTTTTTTATAAAATAAAATTTATTATTAGAAAAATAATAACTTTTGTAGTATAAAGGGTAACTTTAAATACTTTTATGATAACTTTGACCCGTCTTACAATAAGTTAACGTACACCCGCCTTTTTGGAGAATTTGTGTATATTTATAAGGGGGCTTCACAGCTCTTGTTTTTTAAGAAAAAAATTCATTATTAGTAGGAGGTCGGTTGAATATACATTTTGGGTAAGGACTAAGGAGAATATACGAGTAACATTTTGGGTAAGGAGAATATATGAAAAATTATATAGTAGTCATTTAATGATTATCATAATTTTTAAAATTGAATGGCTGTAATTTATTGATTTTTGAATTATTTTTAAATGTCAAAATTAATTAAATTTTTTTATATAAAAAAATTAATTAAAATTCATTTTCCTAATTTTAGGAATTCATTTTAAATTCTTTTTTTAAAAAAAGGAATTTATTTTAAATTTTTGAAAATTTTTATTCTAATTTTTTATTTTTTTCTTCAAATCAATTTATGAAATTTAACACTTGTCCTCTTTATGATTTTCCTGTTTTAAAATAATTTTTTTTAATTACAAAAAAAAAAAAAAAAAAAAAAAAAAAGCATACATCTCTTCCATCCCAATCCCATAATCATGCCTATTCAAGAAAATAATTTTTTAAAAAAATATATATTATATACATCTCTTCCATCTCAATTATCTCCTAACCATGCCTATTCAAGAAAATATTTTTTAAAAAAAAAAAAAAATCATACATCTTTTCCATCTCAATCCCCTAATCATGTTTGTTCAGAAAGTAATATTTTTCATCAAAAAAAATTATCAAAACAAATTTAGTGTTTTATCTCAAAGGAAGCTAATTGTTCATAAACACATCACTGAAAATAGTAAATTCCTTTCTATTTCCATTTAACTATATTTAAAGTTTCACTTATGTATGATCAAAATTTGTTTTCCACATTTAAAAGAATTGCTATGTTTGATTTGCAGAAAGGTCATTGTGGACCAAATGAATAATAGTGAGTGAAGTTCAAATTGGGCTACAAATTCTCTTTTGATAAGCATGTTTCTTCTATTTTATGTATATTGCAGAACAATGAATTAGAAAAATAAATTTGTAGCCCTTATATGTATATATATTGTGTTGTGGAGTACAAGATTTCTTTATAAATTGTCGAACAACATTTATAAATTGTAACTATTATAGATGACAAATTGTTTAAATTTGACAGACTTTTAAGTGTATTGTACATTAAAAAATGCTAACCTAACACTATTGTTATAATATTGCCTATTACTATAAGATTCGATAGTAATGTTTATATATTAAAAAATATATATATTATAACCCATTATCTATAATGTTGAAATCCCATATTATTTTATTGATGTTTATTTTTTTTAAAATAAAAAATTACAATACAATAAACAGCCGTGCATCATATCGCACGGGTTTAAAACTAGTTGACATTTAAAAATAATTCAAAAATCATGAAAACTTAGCTGTTCATTTTTACAAATTATGGTTGTCATATTTCAAACGACAACCATAAAATCATCCAATAATGTTCTATTATTTTAATTTTATGTTGTTATTGTCAATAATTGTGTAGTTATTATTATTGCTAATGTTAATTTATTAATTTGATTTCTTCAAATTAAGAATGTTTTTCAAGTTTTCATGAATAATGCTAAAAGAAAGTCAAATTCTTCCAATACACTTTACAAAACAATTCGATCAAGATAAACTTTCTCCGAAGAGTCTCGACAAGTGATGGATGTCAACATGTTTTTGCAATTATTCTTTTCTTGTTCACTATACAACCGCTAAATCAACAACTTACACTATTTTTGACAAATTTACTTATATAAATTCAATAGTATATATGAAAATTCTTGTCTCATAAAAGCTTTAACAAGTTTTTTAAAGATTGATGGTATTAATATATCATGATTTATGGCTTAAAGAATTAAGTAAAAATATACAGAGTATGAAAAATCTAATGAAAGTTCTAGTTAGTTTGGTCATACTCTTTGTAGTAATTTTATACTGTGTAGATGCCAGAGAGATTGTAATAATTTTTTTTTCCTAATTATGATAATAAGTCATAAATAATCTATACTTTTATTATTTTTTATTTTTTATATATTAAAAAATATTCCTAAAAACGTTTATGTGCCACATAGATCTACACTAACATTACACCACATCACCATTTAACTAGTATTGTGTCACTTCACCATTATCATTGCAACATTTATTTTTCTAAAGCATCCATTTTTTTTTTGTTTTTTTTTAAAAAAAAAAATTGTAATACGTTACATTCATCTAAAGCATAAACCTTTTTAGAGTTATAATATAAATATATTTTAAAATTTGATTTTTTATGGTGAAAATTGAAATTATAAACTAGATATGGAGACAACTCAATAAAGACTTCACATGAGTATATTTTTATTCATATATGTTTATCAAGATGTTATATACAATTTGCAATTGAATCCATAAAGATTTCAAACAAGAATAACAAATAGGAACAAAGAGATTAACCATCTTGTGCATTAGCACATACATATCTACATAATAGTTATTGTGAAATCTTTAGTTTCCTTTGAGATAAATTTTAATTTTTTTTTCCAAAGGAGTTGATTCAAGGTAATGGAACAAGCTTTCTATATTGAGCAAGTGCCAACAATGGATAATAATTCCTGTACATTGGATAATGTAAAATGCAATTCTTCAAGGATGTTCCCGTTGATTCCTATTTTCCAATAAAATTAAAATCACGGCAATTTATATAATTAGTTTATATTAATTTTGAAATAAGAATCATTATAATCATTGCTTGAAACTAATGACTATGTAGGAGATTAATTGAGTTACCTGTTGTGGAAAATCACCATTTTCTAGTTGTGAATTGATCATAAGTCTTGCTGCCCGATGTAGAGGAATAGGGTCCCTCTTCGCCTAATAAATATTTAATCAAGTTAGTCAATAAGTTTTTTATATGAGATACAATAATGGATGAAACCTATGATTGATTATACACTTTATCGTCCTCCCTCACACATCTTCATACCCAACACTACATGTTCCACAAGAAATGAGGGGTGAATAAAATTTGAACTCATTATCTTCATTTCATGTTGATTCTTGGTACCGTTTCAAAGAACCTACTTAAATACTACGTACTTAATTAATTAAAACTTTATAATGGATGGTTGTCTGCTGGTTGAAGCCTTGGATTAGGTTTTATACTTTATTACAACTTTAGCTTTTGGTTAAAACCAATTATTGAGTTTTATACTCTATCATCAAATAATGTGGGAAAATAGGGGTAAAATAGTAAAAGAAGTTTATACAAAATGAAATAAACTAAGGTTGAGTCAAACTTCTAAAATACCCAAAGATGTAAAGTGAGTCAAACTTGTGAAATTGGAGGAAGTATTTAATGAAACTCTCAAAACTTTAATCAAATACGAGGTAAGATAATTGAAATCCATGCCATATAGCTATCACCTATTCACTTTCAACTCTTTAATATAATAAAGTTCGACCATAAAATAAAAAATATCACATACATGCATCATACATGTGCATAATAAGTTGGTTATATACCTGACCAGCATGGAGTAGACCCATCAAAGCCCATGCAGTCTGGACCACATTGGAGTTTCCTTCTAGTGGCACAAATTCCTTTGTTTCATCCATGAAAGCAATAATATCATAAGTGCAAATAAATATATACTTCGTATAAAAAAAGTTCTTGTTTCTCACATAAACTTTGTACCTAAATATAGTTTTTTATTTTGTATTTTGTAGAGTTTTTACGTAATTATAATTATAATAACAGTGATCCACTTTCACTTTTATGATTTCAATTGTTATACACAGTAAATAAGAAGAAGAAAAAAAAGCACGGAAAGAGTATAATCATTCATAGTTGGTGTTAGCCTAGTATTAAAAAGTACAAACATCAAGTCATAATTTTAATTACCTCCTTGGTACATGAAAGGTAGCTCTCACCCCAGCCACCATCTATCTTTTGTGTTGCGAGAAGAAATTCAACACCCTTTCTTATGGCTACACAATTATCGTATCTCTTTCCTGCTGCTACTAGCCCTCTAAGAGACAAATATGTCCCATATGTAAAGCAATTCCCCCAACTTCCATACCTATAAAAAAATATTATTGCAATTAATGGATGTTACAATATGCTACCTCCATCCAGATTTAGTGAATGTCACGTTGCTTGTTCAAGTTAAATGACATTATCAATACACGGATATATATCATATATAGTGAGAAAATAGTAATCAGATTTTAAATGAATATACATGATCGATGATACATGATTACATGTTATGTTACATGCATGTTTATGTAAGATACACATGATCGATGATGATATAGAGTATGATACCAAGATCCATTAGGGCATTGAGAGTTCTCAATGAATTCGGTTGCCTTTGTGATGAAAGTTTCAATCTCGTTCTTCCTATGGCTTGGGTATATATTCTTGAACAATACTAGAGCTTGAATTGTCGAACTTGTACACTCCACGTACCTATAATTTGCACCATCTTGTTATTCGTCAATTCATTTAGATCAAAAGCTATTAGAATAGTTAGTCTTGAATTTGTGAACATCACTAGTAAATATGGATACTCACTCGTGCTCGACAACAACGTTGGCAAATAAATCCGTAGGATTTAAGATCTGACGATTTACAAAATAATATAGAACATGTCAACTTCATATATATTCATGATTGCGTTAATTAAAACATACTACCTTCGTACAAAATATTAATCAACAACCGGTTTTTTTTTTTTTTTTCCATCTGTCGTCATCTCTCCCTCATTTTGCATAAGCATAGTTATGTTAAGATGTCCAATCCTAGATTATTTTTCAAGATATCTCAAAATAATAATGTATGTGCATAACGTATGATATCGGTAATTATTTACTCACCTCTAACCATTTTTGACCTCTCGCCGGCTCCCAACCAGTAACCCCTCCATTTTTACTCTGCAAGTAATAATTTTTTTTTTTTTTTTTAATTTTTTTTTTTATGAAAGATAAGAGAATAATAAGCTAGAGAGATGGTGATAAAACTATTCTAACAAACTCTACAAAAATTATCTAATACATGGCTAACATTGTGATCGACATGGTATTAATTTTCGTTTTAATTGATTCAAAAAGTTCCTTTAATATCTTTGCATCAAATTGAATTCATAAAAATGTTACATTATAATATATTAATATATTACAACTTATAATCATGACAATGCGTACATATTAAATGTTGTGACATGGTACAATAGTAAGAATTGTGGAGCATGAAAATGTTTCATTATTGTTGGTAGTCTTATTGGTACTCATGGGAGTTTATTTTAGAGAATTGGGACATAGCTTGGTAAGAAATTTGCCTTTGGAGAGTTTTGTAATTGCTTATAACGTTACGTTATGAGACTACTTTTTTTTCTTCTTTACACTCGACTATATTGGTATGTGTATAACCCTGCCTCCAAGGTTTCTTATTTTCTTTCTAAATTTTTTGGAAATTCTTTTTGTATTATACTCTTGATCGAAGATCATTAGATGAAAATAATTTATCGAAATAATTTTTTTTTTGACAAATTTACCTGTAAAGAAAGCAAAAAATTGACGGAGTCAAATATACGCTCAATGTCCATCTTTTCTCCAACAATCTCCGAGGGAATTGTTGATAAGATTAAGCAACACTTAATAATGAAAAAAAAAAGTAGAGTTAATAATGTAATTGAATAAAATTGACATGAATGAAAATCATACAACCCCTTGAAATTTGTAATATGCACTAGATCCATTTAGAAGAAGGTGATGCTAAGGATAATTTTTTGTTCATTTAATAAAATCTTTACTTAATTAAAATAACTTAAATGTCAAATGAGCGAAAAAAAATACTCTTAAACATACCTTTTTTTCTTATATATGCACTTGTTGCATGCAAGAACTCCTAACCCTTTGGTCTAGATAATTTTGAAAGATTTTATTTAATTATTCCATCCTCACACAAATAAATTAAAGGTTTTACCTTAAGGCTATCAGCGGTGCAATCAGAAACTTGCCAACCTTGATCTCGATCAGAGAAAGCCCAAGCTCCTTTCGAGATGTGTCGATACATACTCTTGAAATCTCCCGATGGATTGTCCTTTATCTACATTTTATCTAACGTTTTAGCTATAATACTTTTTTTACAAGACCAACATTCAATATTATATATTGTGAGTATTATTTTCATGTAAGATAAACATAATCACATAAAATCTTAGTGAATAACTGTAGGTTTTTATTTAAAGATGTGTACCACCTGTGACTCTTTGATGTAGAAATGAGCTTTCTTCAAAGCGGGTCCAATTTCATCAAGACCTAGATTTGAAGCTACCAATGCTTGGACGGATAATCCACAATCCCATTGTTGGCTCCCAATTCCCTAATTTTTTTCAATAAAAAGCATATCGTTATGATTATCTTGAATAAAATTAATAATTGTTGTGTTAAAATATATGTCGCATGCATTTAGTCTAAAAAGAAATTTTACATGCACTTTTAATCCGTCCTCAGATATCCAAATATAATCAGGAATTCTAGCAAGATGTTTCTTAAAATAATCTCCGTTGGGATCTTCCACCCAACATGCCATCATACATAGCACCTGTAAACAAAATCGCATTGTAATTAATACCGTTTAATCTTTAAATGCATATAATCGCTATTATGTGATTATTTTTGTCAACTAGCTCAATTAGTTAATACGAAGGTATATAAGATTCTAAGATATGATACCAATTCAAATTCCTAATTAATTTGGTATTTTGGTTATTAGGCACTCTTTTGTGTGAGTTTCTATGAATTGAAGTAAAAAATAATCAATTACTTGCTTGCTATTACTTGGTAACATTTAATCGTTACCTTTTCAACAATTGCAAGTGTTATGTAACGACTATTTTCGTCTTCGTAATGTATGTGCTTCATAGTAACCTCCAAAGCTTTCTCTCGAAACAACTTGTTTAGGGGCCATCGAGTAAGTAAAGGCTCCACAAAGTAATGAAGAGTGACCCAAAACAAATCTTGGATCAATGGGTGAGGGTAATAGAGATCTTCCTGTTGTTTATATTCACTACCGTTAATTAAATATCTATTGTCAAAAAATGCAATTATTAATTGTATTAATTGCTCCTTCTTCTTCTGATTAATTAATTGCAATATACTACATATGTCTTTTTAATTTGATTATACATGATTCTCATTTGATATCAACCCTATAATTTTCCTTCAACATTACACATGCATACTAAATTATTGGATGGAATTCATCCAAAACAAAGTATCTACTCAATTGTTGCATTTGCTATTGGTTGGATTTATAACTTACGATTATTTTTTCAATATTTAAATAGTTTTGACCAAGATACTTTTTAACTAACACCTTAGAGTAGTGTAGGTCCAATTGTCCAACACATTGGAAGTTAGAAACGGCACATAAGCAATTACAATTAGGTGTAACGTATATCTTACCATAGCACATGCATGACGAGCTTTACTCCAACTAATTTGGTTATAAGGTTCCTTGTAGAGTTCTTCTCTAAGCTGCATAATTAGTGGTGTAATTGGACCCACAAATCTTTTCCCATACAAATAAGACACTGGCATAAATACCATTCGAATGTAGCACCACATTTTACCTACATGCATGTTATATTATCACATTATTATAGTATAAAATTTCTGAAAATAATCATCCGTACGTCATAATCATAATATTTGAATGTTTAAAATTCTTATATCTATCTGAGTGTACAAAGTATATGTATTAAAGTTTTTAAAATGTTCAAATAAAAAGAAAAAAAAAGTAGAATGATTGAACACATATATACCTCTAGGAGTGTACGGAAAAGAGATTTTGTATAAATATAATTGGACTATTGTTATTTTATAAAAAAAAAAAAAACCCTCATACATACCTATATGCATTGGAAAAGCGGATGGAAAGAGCAATAACTCAGGTGGAATCGGATTACATCCCGACCAATCATACAAACCAATTACCTGAAGAAGCAAGTAATTAAATTTAAATTAAATTTTCAGTCATAAGACAAATTATATGATCGTTAATCATTATAGATCACTCTCGCTAGCTAGGGCTATATAATAAGGATGTCAAATTAGTTTCCTTTATGACTTTACCCTACAAGATTTTCCTAATTTGTTTTGTTTTTCCAAAGATTACAAAGAGTGAATTGAAGTCCGTAAAAAGTATATAAGTCTATATTATTTTGCGTTATTATTTCAGCATGCTAACATTATACAAGCATGGACATGTTACATTTAATTATGTTAAAATTAATAATACCTTGCGCAAAAGTATGTACTAAGACTTACAGAGAGCCAAATTTTTCCCCAAGAAGGAATATGTGTAATACTACCATGGTCAAGTATCCATTTACGAGCTCTAGGGCACGCGTTGTCATCACCTTCATCAGGTCCTACACCAAGTATCCGCAAACAAATGTAGTTGAGCGCGGTACAAAACATGGTGCTATGTCCTTCACAATGAAATCCCCAACCTCCATCTTCATTCTGTTATCAAGTACGCGTTATACGTATATTACATACATATGTGAACAACACTAGTATCTTGTTCATATGAGGTACAATGGTGTACTACGTAAGTGGAATTTTAAACTATATGTTACATGAATAAAGAATATAAAATAATCAACCTGATGATTGTAAATGCTCCGAAAAATTTCAGTTTGGTGTTGAGTTGAGAAAGTAGAATTTAGATGTCCTGTTATGTTTAAGCAAAATACCTGTTTAATTGTGTCATGCATGTATTAGTACATTATTCTCTAATACTTAAAAAAAATTTCCTTATGTTAAGGATAATTGATAAAAGAATTCACAAAGTATATATATATATATATATATATATATATAGATGAACAATCATAAAAGATGACTAACCAAAGGAGGGAGGTAAAATTGAGGAAAAGAAGCTTGAGCTGGCCAATGGCCATCTTCAGCTTGCAAAGCTATGAGGTAACTAGCAGCTCTCTTTATGGTCGTCGAGGCGGTCTCGTATGTGATCTCCTCCCCATCACCTACCTTCATTTGAGGTATCGTTTGCTTGAAGTTTTTCTCTCTTAGGAACTATTATTTGTTGTTCAATTAATGAATTAATCAACTAATTTATGGTTAATAGACAAATAAAATTAAAAAATAAAATAAAATTCTAGTATAATGGGACAAACTAAATACAAATAAAGCCTAACATTTTGGGATGAAGCTAGTAAGAACTAAACCTGAAGACGCCACATAAGATCACCACAAGCCTTGTCTTGAAAGCGTTTTTCATAGTCGTTACGACGAGCTTCTTCAACTTCCTCTCTTTCTTCGGGGGTGCCATAGTTGGGATCAAACTCCCAAGTTTGACGCCCCATAAAGTTGTTGGTAGTAAATAAGTAAGGCTCATTTGCCCCTTGTGCTATCTTCAACCTCCACATTTTATGATTTGTCCTATAACTTTATACGAAGTATATGTATAAGTCCGTCGTTAATAGGAATAAAATTAATTCAACGAAATGATATTACGTATATATAAGCTCAATCTTAAAGAGAGGAGAGAAATCCAAAGGTTTTGAGATGTATTATTTGTGACGATATTGAAGTAACGTCCGTGAAGCTTTATACTACAAATTATTTGAAACATAAGTTATTAAACTTCGCTAAAAAACAAGGTAGTTATTTAATCTTATAAACTTAATGAGCAATTGACGGGCCTTTAATTTGAGGGGCCAGCTGATAACAATGGGCCTCATTGACATAATAAATTAGGCCCAAATGATAATTGTGGGCTTTATTTTTTTTTTTTTTTTTTTTTTTTTTTTGAGGAAATTATTTAAAAGCATTTTTGAGAATGAAACTGAAGGTTCTAGACGAGAGATCCTCAACATTAGGCTTATTATTTTTATGTACATTGTGATGAGTTACAGACCCTAAATACTACAATAGTATTATTATTATTATTTTTTTTTTGAAACAAACTACTATAGTATTTTATAAACCTTTAATCTCATGTCAAAATCATTTTTACTTCGTATAATATTTTAAAGTCGCAGTTAGACAATCAATAAGTTTTAACATCATTTCTTAAAAATAAATATATTATTACTTTTTTATTGACAAAGTATCATACATTTTGGCACAAGCTAGTTCCCTTTAAAAGAGAACATCAACATTATGATCTAAATTTTTAATTTTTCAATATGTTGTCAATAACAGATTTATAAATCGTGCATAACACTAGTACTACTAATAATTTTACTTCATTAGTCTAGGGTCAAACCGTACAAGCTTACACATAGTGATCACCTTGCATAATTAGTCTTACACTTATCATTATAACAGGACTCCTCATCAATTGATTAACCCTGTATATAAGTTCTGATTTTATTATCACAAGCTAAAACATAACAAGGGGGGAGGGGGGGGGGGAACACTTATCTTCAATTTATTATTTCTATTCAAAAGTTCAACTTTACATAACTACAACTCTAATAATACATACATTGTATTAAATAAAATCATTTTAGGGGTTATTCATCCCAAATCCCGCGTGGATGAAATAAGGAAGAAAGGATTTCCTTATAAGTGGAAGCACACTTCATTAGTATGATGTTTTTTGAAAAGGTGTTCAAAATAAATCTGTGCGGATTTAAACCCAAAATAGATAATATCATACTGATCTAGAGTAGAGCTAAGTGTACGTGCGGTCCAACAAGGTAGGTCGGTGCCCCAGGCCCAACACTTATTTTAAAGCAAAAAATTGTAACTCGATTAGGCAGAGTTGATAGAGGGTAATGGAACACGGTTTCTGCATTCTGCAAGTGCCCACATTGGGTGAATACTCCTGTACATTGTATATTGTGACATGCAATTCCTCATGAACACTCCTGTTATTTCCTGTGGTAAAATATTTAATATTAGAACTAAGCTGAAATTTATGATTTTCATTGGAGATTAATTAGGTTAAATTTACCTGCTGCGGAAAATCGCCATTTTCGAGTTGTGAAATGATCAAAAGCTTTGCAGCGCGATGTAGAGGACTTGAATCCCTCTCCGCCTGATAATAATATGGAAAATTACATAAATTAAATCAGCGGTTACTGTTTTAGTATAGATATAGAAGTTATGAAAATACCTGTCCAGCGTGAAGTAGACCCATTAAAGCCCATCCAGTTTGAACCAAATTGGATTTTCCTTCTATTGGTACAAATTTCTGTGGTTTATTAATCACAAATTGTTAATTAATTACTGCAAAAGTATAGAACAAAGGAAATATTACATTGTACGTGATACAATGAAATAAACACTTTAAAATTAGAAGTGCAGCTGTAAAAATAAAACAGGATTTTAGAACCCTAATGTCCCTGCCCAAAACAAGCATGTAGAGATTGTAGACTGAGCCACCTCAAGAAAATGTGGCACAATGCTACTAGGGCGAAGTCAGGAATTTAGGATTAGGGAGGTCGATTTTTCATTGAAAATGCTATATATGCTTACTTTGCTTTTAATTAGTTGTAACACGTTATTTTGACATGTACATGAAGAAATATATTAGACTAATAAGTAAACGGATAAATAATTGAAATAATTTCACCACCAATAATACGAAAGTGTACCATTTAGTTGTTACGGTCTAAATTTTATAGCTTAATTAAATAATTTTCCTTTTCTAATTATATCCTCAAATAGTGTGGCAAAAAGTTATATATGTTGCAAGTATCAAAAAAGGAAACAATTTTTCATCATTCTCTTATATTTTATAAGGTATTTTCTTTGTATACAGCGAAGCTGCCAAAAATGTTTTGGTAGAAGATTAATAAGTATCATGGGTATTATTAACAATTTAACTTTTTAAATGAAAAATGAAGGAACATATAGCAAAAAAACAAAGAAGTGGAAGGTGAAAATCTAGAACAAAATAAAGAAACATATTTATTATTTCTGAATAAAATATGAATACTAGCTTAGATAGCAAAACAACCTATGAATTTAGGCCATGGGGCAGGACCTCTATCTGCCCCCGGGCTCCACCCTTGAATGCTAGCACGGCAAAACATGTAGATCTTCTATGGACTATTTTATGTGAGATTTTGAGGTGCAAACGTCTGTGCAATGGCATTATAGCACAGTCCATCTAAGTAGCTTAGGAAGCTTTAAACTAACAATGCTACAATTAATTCTAGACAAAAGTGTAGGGATAATTACCTTTTTGGGACACGAAACATAGCTCTCACCCCATCCACCATCCTCCTTTTGTGTTGTAAGTAAAAATTCAACACCCTTCCTAATAGTAGCACAATTATAGTACGTCTTTCCACCGGCTGCTAGCCCTCCTAGAGCAAACCATGTCCCATATATGAAGCAAATCCCCCAGCTTCCATACCTACAAACAGTAATTTAAACTATTTATTAGATAATACTCATCAACAACAACACGTACGTAGGGGTGAACACGGTCCGGTTTGGTGCGGTATTATTTAAACTTTATTATAAGTTAATGAAGCATTATTTTTATTGTACAGCCGGTACACGTGCGACGTGCACAATCCATGATTTTTTTTTTTTTTTTTTTGGTGTTCCACCCGATTCACCCTTTGAGTTAATTCAGATTCGGGGATCAGTTGTGGGTGGTTAGGTTCCATTCCCCTCCAATAATTGTTGTGAGGGATTATAATTGGCATAGATATATTAGAAGTCATAACATACCATCCTCCACTAGGGTATTGTGTGTTCTCGAGGTATTGGATTGCATTTACGATGAAATTATCGATCTCTTCTTTCTTGTGGCCTGGGTATAACTTCTTGAACATAACTAAAGCTTGAATTGCTGAAACTGTACATTCTACGTACCTATTATAAGAGTTCCTTTTTTGTTAATTGTCTATTCATTAAAATAAAAATAAAAATCGAAAATAATGAACACCAAGTAAATTAAAATGTATATTACGAACAATACTCACTCATACTCAATGACAATGCCTTCAAAAAATTCTATTGGGTTGAGAATCTGGAGATTGTACAAAAAAATTTATACTCCGTATCAAGTTTCATATACTTGTAATCTTGTATATATTTATTAGCAAACTAATTATTATTATTCTTATTATTGTAACATTATTAATACTTTAATTAATTGGCTGTTGTAAAATTAAATAACTCACCTCCAACCATTCTTGAGCCCCTGCTGGTTCCCAAGCAGATATCCCACCATTTTTACTCTGGAAAAAAATTATTTATGTCAATTTATTTGTAGGAAATATTGTCCAAAATAATATGAATATTCATGTCATACACATGACGACCTTTTAATTATCCAAAAATAATATTACCTTTGAAGGGTATCTGTTTTAATTAGTTCATTTTACCGATGACCTAGAATGGTTTTTGCTTTAACATGACATAGTAGATCTGACTTTAAGAAAGATATATTAGTGAGGTAGTGTAACATTCTGATTATGGCAATAGTTTTTCAAGTACCTTTTGCATCCACACTTCAATTCTAAAGGGCTCTTATGTGAAGGGGCGTGATATAGTATATAAACCGATTTTGGGCTTTTAACGATTAGCTTAAACTTTTGGTTAAAGCCCAAGATCGGTTTATATACTCTATCATTGATAATAATAAGATATTTGGAGGTGATGTTAGGGTTTTGGAAAAGCTTGGATTGTTTACCTTTAAACAATTAAACTAGTGTATGTGACCTGCGATGCCTCGGGTAGCTAGTTTGTACTTGCATTGTTTAGTTTGATAATCATGTTCAACTGTGTTTTTTTTAATGTTTAGATAATCATCTTAAACATTCATATTTGAAAAAAAAAATTGTATTAGGAATTTACATTCAATACTTTGTATGTTACTCCCTTTATCCCTTAATTTTTACTCCATGGCTATTTTTTGAGTTAAACTTTGAAAACTTTGACCTTAAATTACCATTAATTATAAGAGATAATATAGTCATGAGGGATCTAGTTAGATTCGTCTCATTGTATATTTTATTAATATCACGTTTTTATAATTTTTACGTATATGCAAATAAAGATATAGACGTTTTAAGACAAGTGTTGGAGACCGTGCCAAGTCAAATGGGGCAAAAAAATAGGGACAAAGGGAGTATGATTTAATGATTTCCAACAATTATTGACTATTACGCAAAAAAATGAAATTATTATTTTTCCTCAATTCTAAAAATACTACTTCCTCCGTCCCAATATATAGTTCATGTTTGTGTTTTTTCACGGTATTTAAGAAATGGGAGGAGAAAGTAAATAAAGTACATAAAAAAGGTGAAAAGTACAATTATAGACAAAAGTTAAAAAAGAGAAAGTGAATGAAGTACATAGAAAAAGGTAAAAAAGTAAAATTCTAGACAAAAATTAGAGAGAGAAAGTGAAAAAAAGTACAAAGCAAGTGGAAAATTTAAGGGTAATTTAGAAAGTACAATGAATAAAGTTTAAAAAATGAGGGTATAATGGTCTTTACCTACTAGCCAAAAATAAAAACAGGAACAATATTTTGGGTCTCCAAAATAGGAAAACAAGAACTATAATACGAGACGGAGGGAGTACAATTTTTCAAACATCAAAGCACTAATCATCTCATCCAAGTTAATTATGATTTTGTTGAATAAATAGCATAATAAATGGAGAGCTGAGTTGGTAAGACTTGTAATTTAATATTTATTGGTCTCGAGTTCAATTCTT